AGAAAAGAAAAGAAAAGAAAAGAAAAGAAAAGAAAAGAAAAGAAAAGCTTTCTGGAGCAAGATAAATTTGTACTATGAGAAGAAAAGCTGACTAAATACCATAATGATGGAAAAGAGCATGTACACAAACCAGCTGTATTTCCTGCACACAGTACCATGCTGAAGATACATCCAAGAGGCAAAAGGAGGCAGCTGGGCCTGAGCCCCACTGGTTAACACGCTGCACACAGTCCCAAAGGCTGATTCAGAGCTGCAGAACAGAGTAGGGTCCTATAACAGCTCCTGAGGGTACCTCTGTTGCCTAGTATATTAGAGCCTCAAGGAATCACACCATGGTCATTGAGAGTTGGCTGGGCATCTTGTGCTGCAAGGTGAGCCGGTGCACAACTTCCATCCTGGAAACACACCACATCGACAAAGCATGAAATATTGAAAGGCAAGGGAAGCAATATTCCCTTTGATTTGCAAAGGCTGGGAGAGGGTCATTGACCACGTGGACGAGGTCAGGCAGAGCTTGCAACATCAGATGGATGGATTTGTGTCAGAGCCCCATGAGCTCCTGCTTGCAGGGCTCTGCATGGCACCCATCCCAAGCCTGTGCAATGGAAGGGCCCTTGGGATGTGACAGTGATGCTCCCCTTGCACAGGGCCTACAGTGAGCCCAAGGCAGGCTCAGGCTCCAGGGCACAGCACTGGGAGGCAGCCCTGCACATCACACTCCCGTTCCCATCCATCACCCACAAAGCAATGGGAAAGCCCACTTTTTTCCCCACCTAAAGCTTTCATTCGAGTCAGCTTCTTTATAACTTCCCTTCAATTTTGCACATTCTTCGTGTATCTCATTAATTAATGATTCAGATCGTTAACAATTTTGGAGCAGATATTTTCTTCCCATCTATAAAGAGTCTGTGCCAATTTTTAGCCCGAATTTTAAACAACACATATATTTAAGCTTTCTGCCCAGAAAACAGCTTGGAGACCAAAGATTGCACTGTCTCTTCACAAGGCAATTATTCAGAGTGCTATCAGCAAATCTGAATGCACCTTCATCTGCAAAAAGGCTTTCTCCCTGCCTTTCCACACAGTCCACCCACCTAGAGATGCAGCAGGACTACAATCGATACATGTTAATTAAGCCATAGCCCACTCCAATTAAAATTATAGGATCTGAAGGACAGACATTTATTTTTGTCAGTAAATTAATTTAAGCATCCATTAATTTTAAGTTTAAATTCCTAAATTATATATCACTTTAATGATAAATAATTTGTCTCATTACGGAGCAAACATATGGAACAGAAAGATAAAATGGAAGACACTTGGGTGCAGTCAGTGTTCTCCAGCACTTCCTTCTTCCCTCGACCCTTCTCTGTCAGTAAAATGGGCTCTTCAGAAAATTTGGTTGGTGAGCATGGCGTTGAAATAAAAAACAGGGATTCTTTGAGCATCTCACCTCCTTCTCTGCTAGGAACAGGAAAGCTTAGCTGTGAAATCTCGGCTTTTTAGAATAGCTGGAACTTTGTGCACACTACCAAAATAAACACTTTTTCTGCAGAAATGAAAATATTACCATGTTAACAGCTTTTTTTTCTTTTTTTTTTTTCTTTGTTGTTATTATTATTCATACAAAGTGAGGCAGGTTGTTTGGCACCTTCATTGTTTCTGTGCACATCCCAGGCACTGAGCACTGAGTTTGGAAAGCAAGGGTTGCGTGGTGCCCTGTGGTAAGCATGGCATTTGGTTAAATGCAGAGCAAAACACTGTTGGAACCTTCTTCTCCAAAAAGATAACCCAAGCTGGCACAAGCATAGGTTTTTGCCCTTAGCAACTGCATAGAATCACTGAGGTTGGAAAGACCACTAAGATCATCTAGACTAACCATCAACCCATCCCCATCAAGGGCAGTCCATTGGGACACTCACCCATCAGCACCCCTCCCCAGGCCTGCAGAACCAAGCAAGTGCTTCATGCCTGAGTGCCATCCTAAAGTCCTCTCCTCCTGCACGAGGCATAACACTGTGTCTGGCACCCTAAGACATCTGTCCCTGGGGAGCTCAAGGCCTGCAGTGCAATCAGAGCACTGCACGGTTAGGGCATCAAACCAGCTACAAACTTCTGGGAAACGAGGAGCGTCACCCTCCTGCAACACCAAAATCAATCACTTCACCCTCTGAGGATCCACACCCTTCCCACCCTCTGCTGGAGCGGAAGGGGCTCCCTGTGACAGCAGCAGCTCAGCATTTGGTGCTCCTAGGGCTGGGTGCAGAAGCCAGAAGGAGGTAACACAGTGCTCTGAGCAGGTGGAGAGGCAAAGCAGCAGCTTGCAACACTTCTTCCAAAGGAACGTGCAGCACCTACATAACAAGGCTCAGTCCAAAAGGGGATGGGGTAGCACAAGAAAACTATGCAAAGCAGGACCAGCAATCTTCTGTTTCCTTAACTACTGCAGACGTCTGAGCATTTACAAAAAGCCTTTCCCCCAAATATCCATCAGTTCATCTATCCAGCGGTGCAGCTGAGCTCCCATATTTATGGCATCGGTGCATGTTGCTATAGAGATAATTAATTAACACAACATAATAAATTCAGCAATTTTATTACTTTGCAGGTTAGCATAGAATTGGAAGTAGATTGGGGCAGGTAAAAAAAAAACTGGCTTATAAAAAGTAATGTCTTTAATGATCCTCAAGCATTGAGCAAGGCAGTTGGGCCTGGAAATCATTCCTACAGTACATGAAATGCTCTGCATTTGGTGTAATCACAGCCATTAGGAGCCCGGAGGAAAATCAGAAAAATAGCAATAAAGATGAACTGAGTCTCAGCCAAACAACTGGAGGTGAGGGGGCTGAGGGGGGAGTTTCCTGAGCAAGGCATGAAGTCAGACCACAAACCTTCATCTTTCACATACAGATGCCAGCATAACACCCACAGCTGGAAGGGCAGCAGCAGAAAAATGACTCCCAATGATGGACACGGTTCCAGCCAGGAACTGGGCCAAACAAGAACAAGAAGAATGCTGTTGAGCATGCAAATAGTGCCACACTTGCAGTTTGATGTCACTCCCCTCTTTCTGTTAATTGAGAAAATTGAAATCAATCTCCTTTCCAACAGGGGCCCTTGTTTTATTACTCGTCCTGTGCTAATTAGAATCTTTTTATATTCTTTTTGGTTCAGGGTCTGTGCCTTCTGAGGTTAGAAAAGAGAGCGGCACAGCTGAAACTGGGTCACTTACCCCTCAGGATGCGACCATTTGTTGCTCTGCATGCAGTGAAGCAAAGGGGAAAATGCTCCAAGAGAGAGCCACACGCAGAACAGATGAGCAAAAGACTGTTTGGGGACAAAGGTGACACTGCGCAGTGCTGCTTGCCTTACATAACCGTGACAGCTTTGTCACGTTGTCAGGTGCCGATGACATCTGCACTTCTCAGAGCAGTGCCCAGTGAAAAGCAGCTCAACTATACAAAACCAGGGGCGTTGCATAGAAAAATCAAAGGGCCAGAATGCTGCCACCCAATTCCTAAGCCGTCCCTGCAATGCGTTATTGCTATAAAAGCACAGCAAAGCGAGCAGCTTTTATCCTGCATTCATGTAAACACACATGAGGAAGACTAGAACAAAAAACAGCCAAGTCTCAAATGCCTTAAGATATGTTTGGAGACTTCAGCATCAGCTCCAAATTCTATAGAGGCTCAGCTACTTTGAATAGGGTAAATTGCGTGGTGTCATTAGCATCGCGAGCTCATTGCACACCATCTGCAGGCAAAGAGAGTTTTGCTATTCCCCAGTCAGAGCTGCTTGCTGGCAGGCTGCTGCTGCAACCTGTTGCTGCACTTTTCCATGTCTGTCTGCAGCATGCTCCCTGAGGAGACTGGTCTGTTTTTAGGGTCAGTTTAGCTGCAGAAAGAGAGGGGCTATTTGACAATCTGACCAGAAACACCCAGGTCACCCAAAGATTTGCTTGATCCACACACACGTGCCAAAAAAGAAAAAACACCAAAACACCCTAAAACTACTATCAACCAGATGCTGCTGCATGGATTTGTAACAGTGATAAAGAGAGAAGACGTCTTCCCCAAACCCAGACAACCCAACCCAGATTGCAGAGACAAGAAATCATCTACAGTGAGAGCAACAATGGGCAATTTAGCTTGATTATATCCTTGCAGATCTTCCTATTTATAACGGTTTTCGTTATTTTGAATGCAAACTGTGGTGTTGGTTTTATTTTTCATGTGCATCCACTCTGACAACCAAAAGTTGTCATTAGCTCCTGATTAAAAGAGGCTTTAAATAAAGAGAGGAAAGAAGTCCAAACAAAGAGTGCGGCTGCATCCCTGTCCTGCTGCATCAGCCTGCCTGCTGCAAATGTCAGCTTTATTTACTGTTTGGAGTCCACTAAGCTCTTCTCTTGTAGAAGAGGTGAAATTGGGAATATTGGGCCAGATGGGAGAAAAGAAAAACAGAAAAGAAAAGAGGAGGTAAATAAAAAAGCAGCCGTGGGCCTGCATCGATGCTGGTCCTGGTCCTTCACACCAACATGCATGCAAGTTTGCACATATATGTGGCAAACAAATTAAGTAAGCTTCACTAGTGAGAGTCTGACCTTTTCCATCTTCCCCCCCAGCAGAAAGCAAGCTCCGGAAGAAACTAAAAAGAGGGTTGGAAATAGCAAAGATAATAAAGTCAGTCATCGGAAGCACAGAAGACAGAAGGAAAAAGACAGGCAGGTGAAAGGAGGACTTCAGGAAAACCTGAAATATTGCAAGTCATCCTCTATTTTCTGGAGGCACAACCCATCCCAGTGAAATACAGGCAGCAGGATGCACCCAGGTGAGGCCAGGAGCCCTGTTTTGATGCTGAGAGAAGAAGTCTGCTCTGTTTTCTCCATCAATCTGCTCCTTTTGGCACATGTCTGCTGCGTGCTTTTTAGCAGAACAGAACTCCCCTCTAGCAAGGTACAGCCAGACACCAAATGCGATTACTGGGAATTTTCCTCCCTCAGTATCACCCATCCCCATCACTCCAAGCCGCAGGATCCTCACCACTGCGACGCTGAGCCACAGTCTTCAGGGTACACTAGTGAAGCCAAGCTGGACAACCATGAACACAGCACATTTGGCCCTTGCTTCATCAGCCAGAATGAGCACCTTCAGAATTGATAGAATGTGAGGACGGGACTCAACACTTCTGCATCCTCCATGAGCAGCAAAGGTGCTGCTCAGAGGAACTCACCAAACCCAGCCACTGTGCCACCCTGCACCACCCTCGGAGGTTTTTTCATCCCAAACATCTTTCCTGCAGCCTGGAAGCTCAGGGATAGGAAGGGCAGCCAAAGGCAGCCCCGCTTTTGCCTGCTCCTCCCACATTCAGCTCCTTATGGCACAGCAGGGAGCTGAAAAAGTTAATTCCAATAACTGCAAAGTGATGCCATTCAATTTCACCTTTTAAATGTGACAATTAACTCTACCACGGTTTCCTTTGCTGTAACCGCTTATGTTTCCATGCCACCGAGGCCAAGAACCACGCATCCTTGGCTTCCCCTCCTGTGCATCCTCTGGCTGGCATCACATTAGCAGAGCAGAAAGAGCTTTTCCTGAAGAAACCTGCTACCACACGGATGTTTTTTATGGCTCTGGCTGCCCCTTGTTCAATCTGTGCCCCTGCATTCTGGTGCTCAAGCAGAAGAGGGGAATCTAAGCTGTTTCCCCTGTCAGATCCTACACTTAGATTCAGTAATGATAAACTATAAAACCAGAGAAACAATGTAAAGCATAGCAAAGGGGGTGGGGTACAACCAGAACCAGATGTTCGCAGGCAGCTGGCAACCCTGCTTCTCCCAAGATGCTGATGAGCACCAACTGCAGCTTGACAGACAGACCCTCATTGGCCGCCCTTTTCCTGCTAGCAAAATTCAGCTTGGCTCTGCTGGATTTAATCATTTTCTCCCTTTAAATAACGAAAAGTAGAGGGAGGAGAGGAAACGGATTTATTCATGTCACTAACTGTCAGAAAAAAAATGTTTACTGCATTAAAATAACCTGAGCTCCTGAATAGTGGGGAGAAAAAAAAAGAAGAAAAAAAAAAGAGGGAACACGCAGGGGAGAGGGAGCTGGAAGAGCATCTGTTCTGCACACACAAGGGATGGACCCGCCCAGGTAGACATCAGGATGGGACACACGTGAGTCTCCCAGCAGATATCCAGGAGAAAGTGGAGCGAAAACAACGCAGCAGGGAAGGATTGGCATGGTTGTTTGAGCTGTGCTGTTTTTGGGCACAGCTGAGAACATACTTTTGTCAAGCAGAGCCTTGTGGGATCCATGCCAAGCCCCAGCACTAGCTCAACAGTTTGCACAGCAGGTCCTTGGTGGCTGCCTGCAGAGGTGCTGCTCCTGCAGAGAGGTCGGGGATGTGGGAGGCCTTAGAAGCAACCACAAAAATGTAATGCATCAGGAAAAACAGAGACTCCAGAGCATTGCTGAAATACATCTCCAGCTTCGTCACTCCTCACAACGGGGCATCCAAAGGGCCCGCAGTACAAATATTTAAGCAGATTGGCAGAAGTCCATCAAGGGCTATTAAACAAGAAGTTACAGATTAACTTCCAGCTCAGGAAGCCCTGAAGCTGCAAAATGTCCCAGTCTGGAAAGGAGTGAGAGAGTGGCACCTCTTATGCTGGTGCCTCCACAACTGGAATCTTGTACAGACATACTTTGTCAGTGTTTTGAGCACATCCCCAGCCCTGTGCAGCACCCCTCCCTTTCTCTCTTCCCCTCCCCTCCCACCCCTCTCTCCCCATGCTTAGCTGCTATTTTTCAGACTGGGAGACACTCTGCTGGTGGGATCTAACAGCACAGCCAAGGCACAGCAGGAGCCAAAACAGCAACTAGCATCTTGTTTGAGGTTTGGAGGCAATAGCCACCTGTAGACAGCAGCCAGCAGGAAAAGGAGTCACCAGGAGAGCCACCAGACTTGATTTCTTGGCTGTCCTTGTGTACGCCTGGGCTGCCCAGCACCTGGGAAAGCCAGGAAGCCCAGATAAATCACTACAAAGCTATAGTGAGGACAATTATCATGATAACATTGATATAGCTGAATCCAGTCACAGTTTTCCTGCTATAAGCTGCACCTCCCATTGCGATCCTTAGGGAACAAGATTATCCCCTGACAGAATTAAACCCGTACACCTTATACAAAATAGTTAATAATAACAACTTGATTGCAGCATGCTATCCTTTGATATTCCAGTTTTGTGATCCAGATGTGGTTGAAGCACCACAGCTTAGCAAGAGCTGAAGGGTAGGCTGGCTGCAAGGACACTGGGCATTCAGGATGCTCTGCCCCGGCTGCTGCAGGCACAGAGTAACAGGAACCACAGGGAAGCAATTACTCTGCAACAAGCAATGTCTTCTATCTTACTGCAGCAGCAGGACGTCATTCCAGCTCCACCTGCAGGAATTTCTGCCAGAGAGAAAGCCTTGAAGGCTGGAAGGGGAAGGGGCTGCTCCAGGGAGGGGAGGGAAGTGAACAGGATGAGATCGGTGAGGAGAAAAACAATGAAAGAGGAGAGCCTTATAAAAATGCCATCAACTAGCTTGAAGAGGCAAACGACTTGGACTCCTACACACAGTCTCACAGGCAAGCAGTGCATGCAGCATCCCAAGAGTGCCTTCTAGCAAGCTGCATGAATTCTCTGCTCCAGCTTCTCCGCACGGTTCAGTAGGTGATGCTTCTAGAAGGAACGTTTGCTGAAACTGAATTTTGCAGGAACATTAGGGAACGTTTGCAAAATGAAATCTGAATTGACAGGTGGGGACACTCATGACTCAAATTCCTCCTCTAAATCAGGGACCAGGCAATCAGTAAGGTCTTGCAACATTAAGCACCACCTCACAGGTTTGAATGTGAGATACTTAAGAGCATTTTGCAAACTACAGATGAAAAGCACTGTCCAGCAAATAATTGAACAGGAAAAAAACAGGTCATCTCTGAAAAATTTCACTTGGAGTGGGAAAATACATCACAAATTGAGAGTTGGTCTATGCTCACACCAGCAGTGGTCTGGAAGAACTCCCCGCAGAAGGGGCTCACCTGGCTCTGCCAACCCACCTGCAGCCACCTGTCCTTACTTCCCAAAGGAGGATAAAGCAGACTGGAGTTCATTGCAGCTCCTGTAGGCAGTGCAGAATGCAGAACAGCACATTTCCGTGGCATAATTGCACCTCCAGAGCTCCTCAGAGGCACTAGGTAAGCATTTGGCTTTAACCCGGAGACAAAAGCCAAAGCATGCAGCGCATGGTGAGGGCAGGGTGAGGGAAGTA